GGCGATTGGATTTGAAAATAACAATGTTTTGTATAATAAAATAGTAATGATATAGAATCATGCTAAGAGCCTGTTAAATAATAGTCTAATAACTGTTTGAGATTAGATTTTTTAAGACATTAAACAAACTAACTTATACCTGAATATAATTAGAATTATACTTTGTGTAGAATCGAACGAATCGACCATCGCGTTCTCCAAACACACCTGCGCTATAAAACGAGATCGATGGAAATCCATTCGCTTTGATTATCGCGAGATACGCAAACACGTCTGATTTACAACCTACGAAATCGGGGCCGTGAATTAGACTGACATTTTACCGAACCAATCAATCAAATGAGCCGCGATACAAGACTTTCAAAAGTTTCCAATGATAAATGACCCGGTCTGCGTTTGGCACTTGTCGCGACCTGAAAGTCGAGCAAAAACAGCCAAGCCGCCCGCCCGCCTCTGGTGTTTCGAATATTTTATCTTCGCGGATAAAAGGTTTTATTTCGAGAGTATCCATGATAAATAGCACTGAGTTTTCTTCGGATCTACGAATTATATTTTGGACATATCTCTTTTTTTTTCTCATTAAAATACGCATTAAAACATAGGGATTCAATATGTTTTTAGTTAATAAGACCGAAGATTATTCAAGCGATATCTATAAATAAATGATAAACAACAACGCTTTATTTGTTGCATAGCAAAACAAAAATACACGTAGCTTAAAAATACAATTTTGAAAATCGTTTCACTATTTCGAAATTCATTTGAAGGTGCGCTTTTATCCAATAAACAACCAATATTGGCTGTGGCATTCGGAGTGCCTAATACGGTTTCAGATTTCAATTAACGCCTGAACCGGAGTAACGTTGATATCTGAACCAAATGTTTGTTCAAATTACAGTCATATTTTGTGTAAACCAAGCACAGATTTGCATGAATGATTGTTGATTTACTGGATATGTCACGTCGTTAATAAAATGATTTTAATGTGAGTTTCATTTATTAAATACGTGCAATGATATTTTATATGTAAAAAGAAGCAGATATGTTTCAAGCGCACGTCAAGTGAAGACTCGAAAACAGGCCAATTGGGACATTTCGTCTTTAGTCGCGTCTAAACAAATGCAATAATAATATTACAAGTGCAATCGTTCCAATTATAGCTATCTTTTTTACTCACGCGCTTATCCCATCTTTTGTACTTTTCATTAATGCTACTTGTCAACATGTGTGTGCACTATATCGGTAGGTATGTAGATATATATGGCGCGATCAGATTTGAAGAGTCAGTTACTATGAAGATAACATATATGTTGTATAAAAAATCATTGAATACGTGGAAAAGAGAATGCAGTTTGTATATCATAGTTATATTTATTAGAAATAAAATCAATTTATAGCTAAACGAAGTATTGATGGGATTAAGTATTTTCTAAGTATTTTCGTATCACTTAACATACTAAGTGATATAATGACAATTTAAAATCTTCATTAATGATGTAAAATGGAAACTAACAACTCATTTCATTATAAGTTTTAACTAATTTCAAGATCAGCAGCCAGGAGAGGACAAGTTTCCAATATTAGTTGACGAACTAAAGTGAACAACTACTTAAGTGAGCAGCGCCTAAGTTTAACTAAGCGAAACTCAGTTAAACTATTGGACCAGTAGTCGAAGGCAAACATAAATTACTGAAAGTACACATGGTTAAGGCCTTTAAATATTTTCTTTGAAACTCTAGAGAATAACACGATAAGACAGCGCTGAATTTCTTATCGATAATTTAATTTCCTAAAGCAATCATGGTTTTTGAAGTAAAAGCTTCTTTAGCCGCGTTGACCACTTTTTGGTAGGGGAAAATCTTATGGGTTCGCGTCACCGACATGCGAAATAGCACCTAAATATGTAGCTATACAGGTGACTCATTGTGCAAGATTTGTGCTGTGTATATCTTTATAAGCAAAATTGAATGGACTCACTAAAATTCATTGTACATTAATAGTTATAACATTTTTTTTTTGTTAATTGTTATATATTTGAATAATAAATAAGTCATATAAACATCTATATACTTGTTGCTCGAATTGCTCGAAATGTGAAATCCAGGCTGGTGTTGATGATTTCAATTTAATCATTCTGAAATTTCCAATTTTAACACAAAAAATTCTTTAGTTATAAGTTTCAACTTCTATCGCCAGTCCCTATTACTGTATTTTTTTATTTGTAAAATAATATGACAAACAAAACTAATCTGCTAAAGTTAACAGATCTATAAATTATAAAAACCCGCTTAGTCTTACAAAAAGTTGTTGGTAACTGAGAGAAAAAGAGAGAAAACTGAACTAATCTAAGGCGCGTCGGCAGGGGCAACACTCATAACTTGAGTATTAAAAATGACGGCGTTAAAGAAAAAGAACTTTCCAGACGTAGAAATAATATTGAACGCGAAACAAAGCAGGCTACAATACACGAGCGTAATAATCGCGTATCGTCATAACTATGATTATCTACGACAAAATACCGGGTGTCATAAACTAGTCGAATGCGGATTTTATCGCGCTCTTTCCCAATTACGACGGGCTTAGTCGCTGTATCTGAGAAAGTTAAATTACGATTTTGTTATATAATTAAACTTAATATTTCCATAGATGTATTTGCCGTATGTTGTTTCCAGTTTGCCAGTTTTTTTTTCTAGTTACAAAAAAGTTGCACAAGTTGCAAACATTCAAGTATATAGTTAAAATTATCGTATACGTAAAATTGTATTAAAAAACTTGTAAATAGTTTTATTTTTTAGTTTATTACGAATATAATTGCTTCCATACTGTAATTTATAATAGAATAGTTATAAAGCTGTATGGTACAAGGTGTCCCCTAAGCAGTTCGAGCTATATCCATGTAAAAAAATCGTATAACCTAATTTGAGGCGTCTATTGTATACCAATAACAAACACGTTAAAAAAATTCAGTTACAAATTTTAGTTAAGTGCTTCAGATATTTTTACTGAATTAAAATAAATTATAATATAAATTGATTTATAAGGATAGGACCTCAATCTGTCGCTTCCTAACGATCATAGATTGAAAATAATAAATATTTATATATAATAATACCCCTTAAAATGTTTATTTACCACGGTTGGTTAATCTAAGTTCTATGAAATGTTAATCGATAATCTGTGTTCTATTGTAAATAATAAATAAACTATTTATTTATTAACTAATAAACTATTTATTATTATTTAACGGTTTTTAAGAAAATGTTCAGATTTCGATTAATAACACTTCGATCGTCTCTAAGCGCCATAAAGGATACGCAAAATTGGAAAATATAAAATATAAGGACGCAATAAAATTTTAGTACGAGATTTTATCTAGAACTTTCTAGATTTCGAAAACGCTATTTTTTTGTTTAATCATAGTAGCATATGATTTTTCTTTCACTGATATTAAATACCCAATTATGAAGGGGTTCGTTTATTCTAAAAAATCGTAAATTAAAACTTATAAAATGAAAATATTTGATCTCACGCTATACATCCATAAACATTGTATATTGTATTTATACTGTGTACCTAAAGTCATTCAGTTCACCCAGTGATAATGATCGGAATGTTCAAGAATTAAAACGAACATAAAATAAACGCGTTAAAAAGGCATTCGATTCAATACTTTATTAGTCGTATAAATAAAGTTGAGATCGTAAAGGGTAAGTTACAGTGGTGTCTTCAAAGCTAGTGAAACAATTAGGTATTTGTCGTCCGAGTTGTAAAGCATTTAGTGGTCGCGTCTCCAGTTTGCTTGGAAATTCTCTCTGCGCATTTAAGATAACAATAGCGAACGGTTCTTTATCCAAGTCCTCGTATTGTTTAATGAAGCTTAATTTAATTATTTTCAACGTTCCGACTATTAATGTATTTTGGTAAAAAACAAACATAAAAAGATAACGAATCTCAAAACGATAATTTGAATCAAATTTTTTGTTAACAAATTAATATTTAATTGTTATGCATTCTATTTTAAAATATATTTTTTTATCGCGACACCAAAGATATAAGAAAATATCTGCAGATTATATGAACGCAATAATAAGTTTACGATGAATCCAGATTTGTCGAGATAGTGCTGTTTGCTTCAATCGAAAAAATTCAATGAAACTGAATTTTATTACTACGCGTTGCAATCGCAAAAGTTTTAACTTAAAATACAAGTATGTATTTTCTTCTTTTTTAATGAGAATCATTTTAAATACATTAAAACTTTTCGAACTTAAACGAAGTTTTTATCTTTATTTTTATAAAACCATTATTCAGCCCTAAAAACAAATCATCATCAAATCAGAAATAAAAAGAACAAAAAAGTTTCAAAAATAAAAATATAAGTATTCAATAAATTTTCTTAATTTTTTATATATTAATTTATGGTGACTTTAAAGACTTTTCGCCTTAGAGTTATCGAAACCAATTAATAACTCATTGAGTTTTGATACGAATCAATAATAACACGTACATATGTTTGAAATATACTGCTGCTATTAGTCTTGAAGTCGGTACCGTCCATTTCGCTGTCACTTGGCATCCTCTGGGCTTTCGATGGCAGGCTGCCAAATGCTTCCACCCTCTGTTGCTTCTATATGTAGGTATCTGTTGCTTATACATCATTGTATTTCAATCACGCTACATTATCTCGCCACAATCTTCATGATAACGAATCTCCTTCAGTTTCAAATTATTTTGATCTGGTCGTTTGTATTCGAATTCGATTTGATTACGAAAACAAAATAAAATAACAAAAACTCGCTAGCGCCTCGCTGTTCAAATGTATTTCGCGACGTCGGACATTCGCGTTGAAGCAAAACGGTAAACTTAAACGAAACTATCAACTGACCGGCCGACGGATCCAACCTAACACTGAACGTCGCACGCGCACCGGAGTTGGGCCGCAGTCTTCGCCTGGTCTGTGACAAATTTTTAAAATTCCTAAAATTCCAATTTATACTCACCGTTGTAGAGGAGCGTGGGCTCTGGATCGCGCGGCGAAGGCCCCGGGGCCGTTGCCGCAGGTGCAGGACTTCGACCGCGGCCCTCACCCACCACGTCGATTTCCTCGTCAGACTCCTCGACCACCTCCGGCACCGGGGCCACCTTCCACTTTTTAGCCATGAGGCAGCGCGGCATCGCGGCGCCCGCATCGGCCTTAGCGCGGCCGCATTAGTGAGAGACAGACGTACAGAGAAAAAGAGAGAAAAGAGAAAAGAGCGGCGCCCCGGGCGAGCGGCGTAGCGGGTGTTCGCGCGCGTCCTCTTGCGGTTGTGAGGGTTTGGTGTGAGGGTCGCAGTTTATATTGGGGCCGGAGTGGTGCGCGCGCCGCCGCTTCGATCGATGTGGGTAGAGGGTGGTACGGTACAGTCCGCACAAAACTTTACCCGCCACGACAACTTCGAACAACACTTGACGATGCGAGTGTCGAACCCTAAGATATCAACCGGTGGACGCAGCTACGACACATCACGCACGCGACCTTCTCGCCCCGACCCTTTAAATACACGCAAGATTCGCCGACTTCCCGCCTAAAATCTAAAATCGATTCAACTCAAGTTTGAACACACAACAAGTTTTGAAAGTTTCCAAACTCGTAAGAAACTTTAGTAAAAGTTATAAAAATAAAAATAAAACTAGTTAAGGCAATATGTGAAACTTAATAAAATGTATAAAAATAACCTGCATTTTTTCCAAAGTTTACCGAGCTTGTTTTGAAGTAACGTGGCTTAATTCTCCACTGGGAACTCGAGTTTAACTGAACCGATTAATCACTACATAGCACCGAACTATGTTTATTCTTAGAACATAGCACATCCAATTTCCTATTGAGACAACTCGTTGATGTTTTCCCGCGTAACTGTAAAGCCTACAACAAATCTAATATTCTTTCAGCTTCCTGAAACGCAGAGTCTATTTTCGACGCTAATTTTGTAGTCGTCCCACAATGCAGACTCACGACGAAATGCAACTGCGCGATGCACTATGAAAACATTCGCGTATTTAAAATTCATTCATACATATGCCGACTGCAAACAGCTGGGGTCGGTTACCTGTTCATTCAACAATTCGCATCGCGACTGTGAGTTGACGTCGTGCGGTCAGCAAACTCCTCGTCAAAACTATAATTTTGTTTTTAAAGCAGAAAATTTTAACGCGTTCCACTCGATATGTTCCGATGCACTTTAAACAATTTTTCTGACAAACTCCTCAAAGTTCGCATTAGAGATGTTCCGTAAATGTCATCCAAGTTACTTTTTTGAAAAACTGTTTTTTTTTCAAACAGTTGACCCTTGTATTTTTTAAAAATGCGAGCTAGTCATAATAGCGTATATATGACATTTAGTTTCAAAATAACAATTTTAAATTTACTTTTTTTTTTGGTTTGCTCTCTTTAAGTACGTTGGTCTTGGGAAACCCATAACATTAATGTTAAATACTTACGAATGTTCAGAAAACAAGGTTCATTGCACCATGCTACTTTGATTTTCAAATGATCTTGTGTCTGACCCATTTTGAAATATTATTTAAACCGTGTCACTGGGGTTTCGAGAGCATACATTTTCTAAAAATATCTTATAGCACATCTTATTATTTTTTAGGTTCGAATTTGAATAGAATTTTTTTTTAGTTTCAAATTTGAATAGAATTTTTTTTGCATTTTTTTTTAAATGTCATCTTCACATAGCGGTTTTAAAGTATAATAAAAAGTTAAAGTGTTCATAGGGAAGCATCCTATTTATATTTCCTACTTCGTAGGAGAGTGTTGGGCGGCCCGACTGCATTTCCGGAACTTTAGACGTCAACGCGGACTGCATTTATGTATTCTTTGATCGCGAAATAACGATAAACATTTTTAATTTGATTTTATGAACAAAAAAATTTAAGAAAAAGTTGAAAAAGTATTTTCCGTATAAGACATATTTGAAGCAAAAAAAGCGATTTTAATTTTATTTTTAGTTAGTAATAAAAAAGAAGTGTTATAACATAGTTCATGAAGTAAACACGAAATTACTATTCACAGTGAATTCAATAGGTTAGAATCGAAATTTTCCCTTCAACAACGATGTAATACGGACCAAAACAAGGACATTTCGGCATGCAAACTGACACGGAATTTATGATGAGGAATTAATTTCATCGTACAATCGGCAAAAGGTTATTATTACGCGCGCTGGCTGATCTGCGATTTTCGCTCTACGCTCGCATGCATCAAAACATTAGCAGTTAATTATGAATTTTCAAGCCAGCTCAGCGGACAGAATCAAATTTGTCAATTACGGTTTGACATTCGATTAATAAACGAGGCCTTTTGCCCTGACGTTCGCTGTGTTGTTTTCCATTGTTGGTGCTGTCCTGTATTCCATTGAACGTGTTTGTGTGAGTTAGTGTATTTCCAAGTTTACGAGTATTGCATCAATTTTTCCTACCGCAAAATCACGCTTCATAATTTCGTCGTTATCGACAGCGGTATGAACGGTATTCTATTTGAATTTAATTCAAATTATATTCATCAATCTTTTATATATATATAAAAATGAATTGCTGTTCGTTAGTCTCGCTAAAACTCGAGAACGGCTCGACCGATTTGGCTAATTTTGGTCTTGAATTATTTGTGGAAGTCCAGAAAAGGTTTAAAAGGTAGATAAATATGAAAATGCTCGGAATTAAATAAATATAACAATTTTCTTTTTCTTTTGATGTGTCCCCCGTCGGACGGATTCCTTTTCTTATTTTTATGTTTATTATATACAAAAGTTTAGGTCTTTTATTTATAGATTGAGGCACTACGAAGTCTGCCGGGTCAACTAGTATAAAATAAAAATAAAAGAATTCAAATTGAATGCTGTTCTGCTCTTCTGCTGTTGAATTAAATTCAAATTGAACGCTGTCCCAAGCTGAATAAATCCAGAAGCTTTAGATTTTTTTTCTTTTAGATCAGGATCGGTATTCTCGGTAAGACATTCTCGATAAGACTTCAATATGAATTGAACTTAAGAATTGATTGGCTTAGTACATTCTAACTGCATTAACAGATTTAAATGGTAGTTTACCAGACCAGAATAGTACACCAGACCGCCCATCTCGAGAAACGAAAGGAAAATGAAGTAGCCTTTGAAATGCGAATGAATTATGTCAAAAGCACTACGCTACATCCACAATTTGCCCAATAAATAATAAATTAAATATACATATGTACTTACGTAAAAGTACTTTAATATTTTGCAGTGCATTAGATACATCGGTTACATTCGATGGTCATTAGCAATTTGAGATACAAACAAACTGATGTAAGCAGTTCTATTGATTTATTACACTATACATAACTGTTGGTTTCTTTCAATTTTTGATAATAAATCTTGTGGAATATATTTAATACATTAATACAATAAATACTAATACAGCAGATGCTAGCAAATTCTATCAGGCTGAGTGAGCTCCGTGAGCTCGCCTATGCATTTGATGAAGCTAGTATATCTCCTTGAGATTACTATCAGTAGATAGAAAAGAAAAGAAAACAGTAGATACGATTTTCATAGAGTTTTAGCTGAAAATTATTGAGCATTAATAAGTCAAATCATCTCAAACTTACAGTAACACCGATTTCATATTCAATGCTTTATAAAATTGGTATTGTACATAACGAGAGATCAGAACATTATTTTCAAATTGAGAATAACTTCTGTTAATCCAATTTATCTTCTCTAAGTATCTTAAGAACTCCCTAAAAAGGATTTTTATCTGAAATGAAACGCCAATACATATTGTTACTACAACTTTATTCGTACGAATGACTTCAACACACGTATTTTTACAATTAAGTAACATAATGTTGCCATTAAATACTAGTCAGTGCTTCTAGTTTTATTAGTGCCACAAAAATTAAAACTACACACGAAACAATTGAAAGTTACATCGAGTATTCAGCATTAGATGAACTAACAGCATTCAAACACAAGTTCTCAGCTTAGTTGTAAATTAGGCGCAAACGTCAAGATACATTATGAATCAAATGGCATGCCTGCATGAATATTTCAAATATCGACACAGTTACTTGTGAAACAAAGCTGTCTGGTCCATTTCGTTAACATAATACGAATTTGTAAACGGATTCGAGATTCATTGAATTTACTAATCTTATTTTGGTGACTAATAAATTTTCTTATTGTTTCCTTTTTTTATTTGTTTTGAAATCACATTTTTCTGTTGTAGTATTGTGTAAAAATTGTTGTTGGGATAACGTTTAATTATGGCGACGTCATACGAATTGCATTTTAAGAAAAGCCAACAATCTCGGCGTCGAGTTGACATTATCTTTTGAAGGAAACGTTTATGTATGTGGGTGAGCGTCGGAAATGCGGAAGCCACGTTCCCGCCTTAATAACTCAATGCAGCCAATAGCGAGACGCCTACATTTGTAGTAAACCGTTGCACACGATAGTCACGTACAATTACAAGAACGTTATCAAACACGTAGCCACAGCCTACTAGTTAGAGTGACCACGTAGATTGTTCCTTGACGTAAAATCGTGACACTAACGCTAACACTATACTTGATTACTTGAGTTTGTGTCGAAGCTTCTTTCAACATGCATTTGCATACGGAACTACAAACGCGAATTCATTATATTAAAAACTATTTAATCTTATCCTATTCTTGGTGACAATATCACTACATTAAGTGCCGTTTATTGCCTGAGCTTTGGTCTTTTTGAGGTATTTGTTATGATGAAAATTTAAGTTATAAGTTAGGAGTCGTTACGGAAATTAATAAGTGAATTGTCGATCACTCAGTTTATGGGCACTAGGGGTTATAATATTGCACGTCTCATGGCGTTTAGTGCGACTAGACAAGTTAATGAGTCGGTCTTTCATTTATAAAAACGACTGATTGAAAACTTTAGTCGCGTTTAAGAGGTAAGAATTAAAAATTCTCCAGTTAGTTACTGAATAATGTCTAGAATTAAATAGGTAGTTAAAATATTACGTAATCGCAAATTTCTAAATAATATTTTATTATAAATCGCCTAAAATATTTTGTCCGTGTTATTAATGAATAATATTGTGTAGTGCTTAAGTTCGAAAACGTCTTACAATCTAGATGATGTAGCATTTGTATTTAATAATTATTAATAAACAGCTTGACACAGTAATATGTACGTATTTGCAATAAATATCAAATTTTCGCAAGACTAATTTGCAATGATGAATCCTAGAGACTAATTCATTCATTAATAATGACAGTTAAACAGCTTAAAATTAAACATATAATCACTTTGTTCAAACAACTATTTGATGTTAAGAATACTTAACAGTTTTCCGGGTCAAAAAATTTCAACAGCAAATTTGCTACGAGATTAAGCCGCTAAATTGTCTATTAGCTAACAGTAAATGGGTTGTTTAAAAACATCTAAATATTCTGAATAACTGACCAAAGTATAAGAGCTCTAAATTTCTTAATTATAGGTTATATAATATTTTCTCTGGTATGTAAAATGTATAAACTACTATAGTGTAATTATATCAGATCTAGATCAATCGTTGTAATCGAATTCGGAATTAATTAATGCCATTTACAGATATTTAATCTCATCGCAACTACTGAAATCCAAGGTGTTATTAATTTTCTTTAGAATTGCACTGATTTTAATGCATTCTTATTTGAGTCATTTTATTGTATACGACTCAAACGCGAATAGAAACACGATAGAAAAATGCATAAATGTCTTATCCTCTTGATGTTTTAAGGTAAATAAGGGCGCCTATAATAGTTAATACAATGAAATATTTATTCTATACAATAAAACTTCATAAAATATTTTATTCTGAAACAATGCGCTGTCACTTTTAAATCGGAATACTTCGAACTTTTTGTATATTAGATAACTTACGAAAATCAATATATTCAACGGATTGAAAATCGGAATTTTTTTTTTTAGTTTTCGTCTGAAGTTCTACCCTTCCGTGCAGGTACGGTCGAACCGATACCGCAGTTGGTTGAACAAAGCTAATTTTGTCCAACAATGTCAAATGATTTCCGATGTGTGTGTGCATTACGGTTATTCACTTTGAACAACTTAAATCGCGCGGCGGTTTCATTTTAATGCGGACAATGTGGATGTTAATTATCCGTTAATTTTCGTGAATAGTCGAAAAGTTATCCGTCTTATTAAAAGAACGAGTTTAATTTTTGAATCGATTAGTAATGTATTTTTTTTTCGCTTTTTATAATTTCTCAATGAACTACGAGTATAACAACTTTTTTGGCTTGCTTTTAATTTAAGAAATATATTTTTTTGCTTTTTTTTCTGTTTTATAAATATATCTAGTTAATCTAAAGGTAGAAAAGTTCCGCATTAAATATAATTTTATGTCTAATTAATTACATGATTACGAATAAAATATCTATACGTTATAAATAGATGTCTAGACTTGTACAAATGTATTGCTTTCGATTTGTCTTTAATTAATTACTAGCTAGTAAGAAAAAAAACTTCAGAGGTGTCAAGGGACACCCGGATGGAACGAAGTTCCTTTCGATTAATTAGTGAAGGAATTGTAATTTTTTTTTTAAGTTATAATAATAATTTACGGCATTATGAAGAAGAAAAAAATAATACTATGAACTAAATTACTATTGTTGAAACGCTATCTCGAGAAACTGTACTCATTACGCGGACCAATCGGATACGAGCAATGTCACGCGATAAGCGCCTACACGTTGATTGGTCAGAATGACGGATCTAAAAAGTCGTGACAACTTTTCGTAAGAATTTTTTCCGTCTAGCCCCCTTTCACAACGCGCGATAAGGAACTTCGTTCTAAAAGTAAGTGACTAGAATAATATACTTATCATTAACCTTACGAAGTTAGTAACTATGTTACGATTCTTTCAATATTCTTTTTTGGCTAACGACTTTAGAACAACCGCTCGTTTTTTTTTTCTCTCTATTTCTCGAATTTATTATATTTTATTGGGATTGAACTTCTTTATATCTATAACATGATGATACACTATTAATGTAAAAATAGAGATATATGGTACAATTTAAATTTAATTTAACATGTGCTTTGGATTGAAACGAAGTAAGTAAACTTTTATCAGGTCGAAATAATCGGTCGGTTGGTTTAAAACACGTCTAATTTATTAAAAAGCGATTGTAAATAGTGCAATGTGTATAGAAAAATGTAAAAAAGTGATTTTCCAAGAGACTTTTTACGTAAAAATATCTATCTCATCACTAATAAAGTATTGATGATACAAATTTAAAATATTTTATTGAGTCCTCTATTTCGTAATCAATTTTATGAGGACAAATTCATTGTATACTAAAGCTGTTTGATAATGATGTCGCTTATGCTCTCATATACTATTAGTGACATAATACGTGTTCGTATTAAAAAAAAATCTCCAATTAGTTGATTCGAACATTTAAAAAAAAAACCATTTTAGACGTACTATTATTTTAGTATTGTTTAAATATAAGACGTTTTTGATAAACGGGAAATAAAAATGTAAAAATATAGTTGTATTTACGTCATTTATGTATTATTATTTATTAATTCATATATGTATTTCATGATTGCGAGATCTCTTAAGATGTCTTGATTGAAATTTGGCTTGCATGAAATTTAATCCTCGCGTGGTTTAGATAAAACAGAAGTAAGATTTTACGAACGATTTATCATCAAATGTAAAATTTAAAACCATACTCTTCAAATAAATGAATACAGATCGGAGATTTTCTTTTGGGAAACACTCGTTACGGCGGTAGACGAAACGGGAATCGAAATGTGTCTGAGTTGAGATTAAGATGTCACGTGATAACGAAGTGAGTGAAGATAAATGGTAACGCCGGGAACCAAGAAATATCAGCATTTAATGCGGCGTTATATGGAAGACTTTGTTTTTCTAATAATCAAGATGGCATCCTTCGATGTTATCCGATTGATAAATTAAGGATATTAGTTTTATCAGTCTTTACGTATGAGCTGCGAGTGTTATAAAGACTCAATATCCTATCATTTTACACTTCGATGCTGTTTGTAATTGTAACATTGATAAAAATAATAATATCAAAAGTAACAATAGCTTCAAGATGGAGTTAAAAATTCCATTGACATACTGAATGATGTATATTTGAAAACGGAGCCATAATAATAATTTCATTTAAATCAAAAATTGGATTAGTTATTAATTCTTGGAATTAAACAATTAAATGTAACTAAATTAGCACTACTTATTTAAAATTCCTTGGGATTAAATCTAGCATGATATAATAATAAATGCAAAAATCGAGATCATTATAAAAATGGTTTTGTTCATGAATTGACTAAATTATTACAGAATTGACATGCAATACTATTTCTATCATAACGGAATTGTACCATAATATTAATGTAACAAAGATGTATGAACAGTCACAAATTAAATTTGTTGCAAGACTATTTGTTTCCGATTGAGTTAAATCCCTTAATCCCAAACAGAAGCGGTTAAAAAAGGACTTAATTTGATATTGGAATATAAAAACTTTGATGTTGGAATCCATAAAGGTTTTCGCAAAATAGTTTTATTTCATTTAAATGTGAATAAAATTTATTAAAATACATAATATTTTCGTTGTTCTTTGTACATAGTAGTAAGCTATTGTCACGGGAAAATGAGGCAGACTGAAATTAGTGCTAAGAAGAATATAATCCATTCATTTATCGACTTAATACAGGATTTTTTTGAATAACGAGATCAACATCATTCTAATTACATTTAAGGAATGGCGCTCTAAAGTCTCAATTAGCATAATAGCCTTTATCGCACTACCTTACGTTTTAAAATTGAACGAAATAGATATGCAAAATTGATTAGATTAAATAAAAACACAAATCCAATACCTGACTGGTGTATGATTTAACAATATAAAGTGATTTCTTAATGAGAAGCATATTATTTAGTATCTTTAAAATTTAAAAGAATTGTGTAAATAATTTTCTTCGAATGCACATAGATTGATTTCCTCGACTAGAAACATTAATCTTATAAAAATATTTATCATTAACTCTAATATTTATTATGTTTCTTCGGTTTAAACATAATATAATTAATTGATAAACTGTAAAACATAACTTAATAAGAGTTCGAAATAAAAATAATCACAAGTCACTTAAATGCATCCTTTTTTGTTTCAAATTCTCATAAAACATAACGTAATAGAAGTAAATATAATATTTCGCATCATTTTCATTATTGACTGTACGGTAAAGATAAAATATTAAAATACGTTTCATTGGAAACAATTGTAAATATAAAATCTTAATCTAAACTTAAAGTAATATCAAATTGTTGCGATCCTACACTAAAAAACCATACATTTTTATAATATAATCAGATGCCAGCATATATATTAGTATTGTTTATTATAAACGACTTATACTATAACATTCAAGGGCTTATAACGCAGTAAATTGGGCGACCTGATATACAGAATATGTATACATACGTAGAGCTTGTAGGTTTTCACATCGGATATTATTAGAACAACATGTCGAAATCAAACAATAAATACATTAACTAACGAACAATGATTTCCTTTAATTAATGCGAACTTTCAACTTACAATACACTAAACGAAAATTCAACAAATCGAATGTGTAAAATCAAATTCAACAAATGTGTAGATCAAACTTAATTGAATTTTAATGTGACATAATATTTGTAAGGTCTCATAGCGGTGGTATCGATACATTGTATAATTGAATGGCGCACGAAATTTAATTTTACAATAGAATTTTACAGTGAACTTCAGAATTTCGCGAGAATATATTCTGCGCATATTCAGCTTTTAATAGCGTTTATCAGCAAACAGATTTAACGTAATTTAAAAACACTTGAAATACAAAAAGAGAAACAAAATATTTCTAGTACCATGCATTCGTACTCTTTCTGAATTTCGAAATAATTATTTGCCAAATACGCGAATGTCTTCCTATATAAAATAACAGTTAATTTCACTCATTCTATTCCGATACAATATGCATCTGTACTCTTAAAAAGCCGTATTTCAAAAGCAAACTTAAAAATAACCAACTCCTTATATCAGTAATAGGTGAAATGTTCATTCTCAAACATTCGAATACTACGTTTTAAAATATATTCTGAATTGAAAAATTTCAAAACCAGTGGAATTTCCTACACGTAATATTTGGGGCGATCTCATTAAGCTGGTCTGGATGTATGGAGCATTGCAACAAGCTTCGTTTGCTTTGGCGTCAAATCCCCGGGATATCTTTGACGTTATAAAAGAAGTGGACTGGTTTTACAGTCGTTTCAGTTCCTTTCACCGAGTAAGTTTGTGAGCGAGAATTCTATTGCGAGTGAGTGACAAAACATCCAATTTTAAAATAGATGTTTTTGATCAATACCTTTCTGGACAAGTACACTTGAAAATAATTTGTAGCGTGAACGTAAAAGCTGGGTTATTTCTTATTTCTTTTGGTCTTGTATACCCTTTGATTTTTGCGAACCGCGAAACTTAATTAAGACTACTTTTACGGTTCAATCTTGTTGGTGGTCGACCGAAAACTGTAAAGTATTTGAAACGTCAATAATAATAAAACCACAATACAAAAAACAAGATATTCACACGTAAAAGTAGATTTAATTATGTTTAAATTTGTTTGTTATTGAGAGTAAATTATTTGATTTGTCAAGAGTCGTGGATTAGTTGACGAAGTAAAAAAAAATATGTAAAGTATTAATATTGTAAATATGTCAAAGTTCTTTACATAAATGAGTTTCTTGAACCTCCAATGAAAATCCTTAACTAACTTTCTTAAAAACGTTAACATTCTACGCTGTACGATATGCATTTTCAATGAATGTACCTACTGTAAACATGCTTAATACTATTACTATCAATGACGGGTATCTCTATTTTTTAAAGTCCGTATTATTTATTTTCAATGCAATCATATTTTTAATAGTATATTGAGTATTCGGGAAAGCGTTATCGGTCGACCGTTTATCGAATTGCTTCTTTCAACGACTTATATTGAAACCTACTCATATAGAGGGAATGCTTGAACAAATTACTTATGTGTAAACGTTTTATATTTACATATCGATATGAGTAGGTTTGCGTGGGTTTGGGTGGGTTGCGACGTGTCGCGCGCGGATGAGTCGGCGTGCGCGGCTACAGCTTGGTCCATCGCCTCTCGCCTCTACTGGCACGCTACTCGTGCGAACTAACACTTGCATTCTACGCGCGTTATTTTATTGCTCTCTTTGTACCACAGCTCGACGGTTTCATTAAGTCTCTACGTATCACCGTAACTAGCAACTAGCTGCGTCCCACGGCGTTTGTGTGACGCTTCCTTATCTAAACGTTACTATGTAAACGTTAACCTACGCTGTAATATTGCAGGCTCCTGCCATAAATTGACACGTTACCCGTCGGTGTCCGACTAGTTTATAATTGAAAAAATACAACATTCTTAAACATTTCAAACTTTAAAATTATGGAAAGAGCCATAACGATTTAGGTACATTATTATTGCTTATTATTTCATTGACGTGGCCGTCGAAATTGAGAATCCATTACCCTATAAATACTCTTGTTCGATCAATACAAAGATGTAAAGAAGTTCATAGAGAAATCTTTCGTTGCAATCGATTACTCGTCGTCGGAACGCACGCAGGCCGCCTCCTGATGCTTGTTGAGATAGCTCTTGAGAGCGAACGACTTGTGGCAGCGTGAGCATTCGTATTTCTTATCCGAAGAGTGCGTCTGCAGATGAGCCCGCAGGTTAGAGCGATCGGCAAATGACTTGCCGCAGGAAGCACAGTTGTATGGCTTCTCTCCTGTATGTGAGCGCACGTGGCCTCGCAGGAGCCACGGCCGAGAGAAATGCTTGCCGCACACACCACATATATGACCCATGCGATGAGTCAGCACGTGCATTGCCAAAGCTGGCATGGAAACGTAAGCCTTACCGCACTCTGGGCATCGCTTCGCCGCCACAGAATCAAGACTGCGGTGGGTCTGCTTGTGACGCGATAGATTTGAGGAAGTGGCATACCGCTTGCCACACTCGTTGCAGTCATATTTAGCAGCCTTGTCCTTTGTTGATGGTGACTGCGGAGCTCGAGGTGTCTGAGGTGGATCTCGAGGTTCGGATTTCGGTTCAGGTTTAGGGTCCGGCGGTGATGTTTCTGGTTGCGGTTGTGGTGGTGGCGGTGGCGGTGGCGGTGGCGGCGGCGGTGGCAAGAGTTGTCCTCGGCAATCAGTGACATACTCAAGCGGTATCTGGGGTTGATAAGCAACATAATTAACTTGCGGCTCAATGGCTGCGTACTCGACGGTCTGTATAGGGGTGACCGTTTGAACAGCGTGGTAGATAGTTGGCTCGGGCGGCTCTTCGGAAAGGATGTAGATGTTGGTCGGCTGCAGAGTGTAGGTGTAGACTGGCACGAGGGGTGTAGGCTCGGGCGCTTGCAGCAGTGTGACGACGGCGGCGGGCGGCAGGGGCGGCACGCTTTGAGCCAAAGACAACAGTTCGTGTGCCGCCTCCGTGTCAGCTGCGGAGCGCTCTGACAGCGGCGCGCTGCCCAGCTCCGCGTACTGCGCCGGCCGAGGCTCTGACAATAAACATTACACTTTATTACATTAAAAGCGCATTTTTTAATTAGTCAATGAGTTAGTCAATTTTTTTTACAATTTTTTTTTACTAGCTGACCCGGCAGCCTTTTAGTGCCTCAATAGATAAATAAAAGACCTAAACTTTTGTATAAAATAAACTTAAAACAAACAAAAGGAATCCGTCCGACGGGGGGCACATCAAAGGAAAAACGAAATTGTTATTTTTATTAAATTCAAGCATTTTCATATTTATCTACCTTTTAAACCTTCTCTAGTCTTCCACGAATAATTCAAGACCAAAGTTAGCCAAATCGGTCTAGCCGTTCTCGAGTTTTAGCGAGACTAACGAACAGCAATTCATTTATATATGTATAGATTTCTTAGATGGATGGACGAGCTCACAACCCACCTGGTGTTAAGTGGTTACTGGAGCCCATAAACATCTACAACGTAAATGCACCACGCACCTTGAGATATAAGTTCTCAGTATAGTTAGAACGGCTGCTCTACCCTTCAAACCGAAACGCATTACTGCTTCACGACAGAAATAGGCAGGGTGGTGGTACCTAGCGGCGCGGACTCACAAGAGGTCCTACCACCAGTAATTACGCAAATAAAATATAATATTAATTAGTTTTATGAAGAACTAGCCGTACTCGCCCGCTTCGCTGGGCATTTAAAATTGACATTATTATTTATAGTCATTATTATTAGGGAGTCCAACACTCATATAAATATTAGCCTATACATTAAGTACATGTATTTTCTACATGGATAGCAAGTTTCAAGTCAATCGGATGCACGGTTCAGTAGTTAGAACGGAACACCCGTAAAAACCACTGTAGATTTATATATTAGTATACATATAAATATGTTAGTTAAAAACTTTCTAACGAATCGAACTTCTAGGAATACGCATTCAAACGATAGCAATCGAAAACAATATATAATAATAATTGCGAATTTTATTATTTACCTAATTTAGTTTCAATTAAAGTTTTATATAACAAAAATATATAAATTCGTTACAGAAATCATCACACATAACAATCTATACTTCTAAGTACTACTATGCTGATTTTTATATTTACAAAATTTACACGTCAATATATTTTGTTTCCTAACTTGTCTAGTATTACATATTATCGTTATACAGTGCGTAGATAAGCTTAATACTCTTGGGTTCAACTAGACTAGTTTTACCTGAGACTTTTGGATTTTCCCGGTGTATCTAATATTAAATTAAACCAATCAAAAATCTGCAAAAAACTCATATATAATATTAATTACTGAGAAAAATATTTACATGTTTTCTGTTCTTTCTACCACTACCAAAACTGTACATTAATGGCAATTTTACATTATTTTTATGTTAAATAAACCTTACCAATCTTCTATATCAAGTTTTGAAAAAATCAAATTACAGTGACAACAGTTACTTACCAGTTTCGAACATACGATGTAACAGAAGAAGTTATCTTTTAAAACTGGATTCGTAATTCGAAACTTTTAGAAACTAATTACGTTAGTGAAGTTATTTGTAGAGATAATAAAGGCATAATACATAATCTATCTCATACCCTATCTAAAAAAATAAGGACGTAACTATTGGAAACTCAATATTCATAGTTTTCGTCTACAAACAAGAAGGTTTATAGGTACGAACGAAACAACGGACTGTCGGAGGACCAATTTCAGATAAATACAATTAAATATTAATTTCACTTTACAAATATAATTGCATTGTTAACATAACATAACAGCAAAACGGTATTAAAGGAATTTTCTTAGGCAGCGGCTTGGTGCTGCCCCTGGCATTGCTGAAGTCCATGGGCGACGGTAACCACTCACCATCAATTGGGCCGTATGCTCGTCTGCCTACAATGGCAATAAAATAAATATATTGCGCTATCTGTCGCATATGGATAGAGAAGTTCGCGTAACAAATGTGATATCGCAAATGTGAATTATCTTGAGATATGACTTCGAATTCCTAATTACATATATTGTATAACGCCTATTTTACGTTTCAAAAACTGGCACAATGATGACACGGCACGACCTTGCCGACTCAAAATACGATCAGTGCTGACAAGTTGTTACCAAACTGTTATCACGTCAATAAGCTGCTAATAAATTGCTAATCCAGGCCGTTCACATAAATTATTAACACATAAAATAACTTGAAAGAATCTGCAACGTTATTACAGTTTTTCAATTTCTTTTAAATGACGTTGAAATACGCAGCATTCATAATTATATGCTTAAATAAGCACCAATTAACTAAGGCCAAGCAAGCGCAATAACGAAGTAGACAAATTAGACTAGGATACTGATATCCTCACCAAAATAAACAGCATCTAATTGTTTGATTTAAATGCTGAAATAATACATACTGTCAATGTGTTGATGCACCAAATTTTATTTGTATTTTTTTATTTCACTTGTATGCAGACGACCATACGGCCCACCTGATTGATGGTGATGGTGATGGTGGTGGTAATGGTGATGTTGATGGTGAGTGGTTACTGTCGCTCATCGACGTCAGCAATGCCAGGGGCATAGCCGCCTACCGCTATGTAAATTATTTGAGGTTAATTTTAGTTACATCATGCTTGTTAAGTAAACGCCATAAATAAACTACCAACCATCTCCATCCAGATTAAATATGTTTTGTATCATGTCGTAACTATGGAATTTTTTTTGTCTATTGAGAGAAGTTGAGCCACGCCACTATTTTTAATAATTTTATTTTAAATTGAAGTTTTCTTTTAATTAATATTCGCGAATATTGTGTACGTTTTAATTATTAAATGTTGATAATGCTAATTTGAGGAATGAAATAATTTTGAAATGTAACTATAATATGAGTTTGGTTATTTGTTTTTTTTTTTTTTTTATTGCTTACACAATGCGATACACAATCTATTCAATTACAATTAACTCTTTTTTTTATTGCTTAGTTGGGCGGACGAGCTCACAGCCCACCTGGTGTTAAGTGGTTACTGGAGCCCATAGACATCTACAATGTAAATGCGCCACCCACCTTGAGATATAAGTTCTAAGGTCTCAGTATAGTTACAACGGCTGCCCCACCCTTCAAACCGAAACGCAATACTGCTTCACGGCAGAAATAGGCGGGGTGGTGGTACCTACCCGCGCGGACTCACAAGAGGTCCTACCACCAGTAAAATTATGTGTTTATATTAGCGCTGTTACAGGAGAGACGAAATTGCGTTTCATCTGGTATTAAATGGTGGTACTAAGCGCCCTAATTATGTGAAAATCCGCTAAAAATTTCCTAATAATTTTCGAGAGGCCAATAATAACATCAAGTATTCGACCGTCGGAAAGAAATCATAGCTTTAATTACGGAAAATTAAATTTTATTTAAAAGGAACGATGAAATTTCGGATATATAAAACTTACAAAATTGAATTCTGTCGACTTGTGTCGTGTAATTAGAGTTGGTAATATATGATTTTTGGTTACAAAGCTAGCTTACTTTCGACTCTGTTTTCACAGGATTACAGTCACTAAGCCAGACTACGTAAAATTTTGTAAGTACTGAATGAGTACAACATAAATAAAGCAACAAAATAAATGTGTTTCAAATTGAACATCCTTTATATACTCTCTATCAAACAAATCAGCATGACGACGCAAAAATCATTTCACAAAAAAAAACCTTATGTTTTGAAAAAAATATACTGTCCTTCTGTACACACCTACACAATAAAACGAAAATATCTTTGACATTATAAAAATCCTTTGATATCAACTTGTTTACATTTATTGCCTTTACTAGATAAACTTTACTCATAGATCATTCTACAAATTAGTCTCTCGTTTTGATTCAGCGCTGCACTGAGCGAACGGAAAATATAACCGTTAATTGCCATTTAATTTCTCAAAGAAGCACTAAAGCTCGACTAAATAATGGGAGTGCAGTTCAAGAGCGCTTCCGTGCTGACTTCAAAGCTCTCCTCGATTTGAAACGGAAATAATATTGTCAGATGCATTTACTGCATTGCTTATTGACATTTAACCTTAATACCTGAGTTCCGGGAAGACGGAGGCGCTGTGTAATAGTCTGCTATTTATTCAGGTGAATGATTCGTCCATTGGTTCTGATGTAAATTTGATAAATTGAAAAAAATTGTAACTGTACTTGAGACCTTAGAACTCATATCTCAAGATGGGTAGCGGTATTTAAATTGTAAATGTCAATCGGCTTCAGTAACCACTTAACAACAGATAGGCTGTGAGATCGTCCACCCAACTAAGCAATTAAAAAAAAGAGTTAATTGTAATTGAATAGATTGTATATTGCATTGCATTAATCATGAATCGCGTTCTACTTTTGATGTTTTGACAACAACATTGATGTTTTATTCTATTTTAATGCCTAAGGGATAAGACGAGAAGGTGTAACTGAATTCCGAAGGCAGGTACCAATTTTTCTAATAAAATATTTACTTACCAAATGTTTACGATTGACTTCGGCTTTGAAGGATAAGTCAGCCGTTCTAGTGTCAAAACTGAGACCTTAGAACTCTTGTCTTAAGGTGGGTGGCCGCATTTACGTTGTACATAGATTTAGATGGGCTCCAGTTACGCCAGGTGGGTCATTAGTTTGTCCACCCATCTGAGCAATAAAAAAATAAAAAAGCCCCACCCAGATATAAGAGATATAAGGTCCTTCGCCTTAGCCTTGGTATAAAGCCCTTGAGATATAAGGTATATTGTATGGTATAAACCGAAACACATTAATACTTCGCAACTAAGTAGGCTGGTGGTAACTATGTGTGCGGGCTCATAAGACGCTCATCTAGATTATTGAGTATTATTTTTACGAGTTTGAAATTGATTACACGATGTTAACATTTGATAACATCGTGTAAGCGTGTAATAAAATTGTTGAAGATTTGGAAAGTCCTACCTACGTATTTCTATAGAAAAATGGGTACCCATCTATGGGATTTGAATACCGACATAG